TGAAAATCTCTGGCTGGCTTCTTGAGTTTGACATCAGATCCTTTCGGCAAATACAAAACCATCTACTGGCTTCCACTGTCAGACTAAGGTGCTTGTCCACAAGGCTTAGGATCACAATCTACAGGACACCGTTGGGCACAACATTCCTGCCAAACCATTCCGTGCAGAGAAGTAACTCTTGATATCTTGCTCCATCTTACATATATCCATCCATCCATCCATCCATCCATTTCCTATACCTGCTTGTCCAATGCAGGACGCCTATCCCAGAAGCTATTGGTGCAAGGCTGGAGCACCAACCAAATCTGGCAACTCCAATTCACCTTAGCAAGTTTTTGGACTGTAAGGGAAATTATTCTAAAATGTAGAGAATGATACAAATAAACCCCTTCTACTGGCAGGTGTGTCCAAACGTTTGACTGGTACTGTACATATTGTACAGCTACTTTGTCAAGTCTGAACGACATCATGGGCCAGTGGTGATTAAAGAGACGTAGCACAATTGCTGTCAACATTTCACAGCTTCTGCTTTACTCTTCAGTGTTAACTATAAGTAGATGCTAATATATTATGACAGCTTGAAAAGTAAATCGAATGCTGTCAATTTTTTGTTGTTGTTTTTTTTTTGCAAAAAAAACAGCTGCAAAAATCTGGTTAAAATCTGGCATTTGGATTGTTGGGTCTGTGTGATTAGAGAGGTGTGCGATTTGGATTAGAGAGCAAAAGAGGGAGGAGAAACAGGTGTCCGGTCTGTGTAACAGGGAGGGAATGTGCACAGTTCATGCTGAGGAAGTGGGCGAGTGTGCGCACGCATGTGTGTGTGTGAGTGTGTGTGTGTGTGCATGCGCGCGTGTGACTGCTGGCGGACCCCGGTGTGACCAGTGAGGCTGGAACATTCGCTCCCCCAGCTGCCTTTCACATCATTGCATTCCTCCTAGCTCAAGCACTCCCCAGGGCAATAGGCACAGCGCCCCCAAGAGACCCAACCCCAACAATACTGTTGGGCAATCACACCCTGTAACCCCACCCCCCACCCCACTCACACCCCGCAGACCCTTTTTCAAATCCTGTGTTTTACAGGCCAATTCACCTCCCTTTGTCCCACACACTGAAACAGCAAACACAGCGCCACCCAGAGGTGCAGCCAAAATGGTAAACTCCCGTGAAATCAGATTGACAAGGTGGTTCCTGACTGGCGGAAAACACATCACCAGAGATACAAAGCTAGAATTTAATAAAAAATAACTTGCTGGCATCATTATAGAATGATTTATACTAGGGTTCCCCAATTTTGGTCCCGCTTTCCCGGCTCAAACGCATCTTAACCAGCTAATTATCAGGTTTAGTGAGCGTGTTTGAGCAGGGAAATCTGCAGACTGTGTTGCAAACTGGCCCTTCATGATAAGAACTGGGAAACCCTAATTTATACCTTAAAAACATTTAACACCATAATCAGCTCCATAACATCAGGTGTGTGAGATCCTGGATGTGAAACAAAACGTATTAGTGTTTTTCACATCTTTTAATCCTCACAGACCCAATCGGTCCTATTCCGTCTTCTTGGTGTCCGAGCAGCTCAGAGGGAGGTCCGGATGGGACAGGGTCTTTAAAAGAAGCAGCTACAGCCCGGTTTGTCGTGCCAGTGCTGATTCTGCGAAATGCCCATTTATAGCTGATGAAACCATGGTACAGACAGTGAAAGAGAGTAACTGGTCATGGTAACTGGTTCATATTGGCAGGCTCCTGGGCAAAGGCAGAGATAGATGCAAACTCGCAGGAGATGAACTGTGAATAAAACTCTGACACGGTACATGCAGTGTTAATGAAGGCAAGTGATTTAAATAGATTAAAATCACAACGAATATTAAAATATATCATCGACAGTTTAACTGTAAGATGAATGATTCCTATAGCAATTCCAGAAATACACAGAAAGAAGGAAACTGATAACAAAACAATTGCAGTGGCAATTTTGTCAAAAGTTAAATATAGGAACATCTCCGAAATGTTTTTTTAATGAGTTATAACCTTTGTGAGACATCTGAAAATCTGCAGATGGGTCCTTAAAAAAGCAAGAATCCCACAATGCAAACACACAGCACACGCCCCTTTTAGTGCCCTTATCCGATCACATAAACATATTCTCAATCAACAATGCATTTCTCATTTCAAACCTCACCAAACGGCCAATCATCTCGCAGCCTCTCACACATCATCCTATCGTCTTACAGCCTCTCACCAACCGCCGAATCATCTTGCAGTCTCTCACCAACCGTTCAACCATCTCGCAGTCACTCACACACTATCCACAAGCCATTCCGAGCACCACTGCATCCTTTTCAAAAGTTCATGCGAATAAACGAGTATTAACTTTTCAAACAAAACTGAGAGGCTGGTTTTGAAATATTATAAACTGGAACACTTTCCTTCAAAAAAAAAGTACTTTTTGATTTGTATTTTATATATTGTCCAGTATTTTTCTTGTCCAGGACTATCTTGGCCAGCTATAGACTTCAGCCACTGATTTATTTAACACATCAGCTGAGATTCCCTCCAAAATCTTTATGGCTCTGCTTTTACAATAATATATTGTTACAAATGCAAACGCATATATTTGCATCCAGTCATTTCCCACCAAAGGAATCATCCCTGGGCTCAGTGCCCGTCTCCCCCAGGAGGAGCTTGTCCCATGACTTTAAACATCACATGATCTCCCAGGACGTGTGTCAACAAGAAATGTGCTGGTCCCTTTAAAGGTTGCTGGCCCCTTAAAGGTGAGGTGCCTTTCTTTGGTCATGCGGCCGCACTAGCCTGGCAAAAAGGCTGCTTGCCATCACCAGCCGCTGCGGCGATTCCCAAGTCCACCTCCTGTGACTCTCTGCCCCACGGCCCTTTTTAACCTTCATTAAACGATCAAACCACAGGCCGTTATTAATGACCTCAATTACTGCATGCAGCAAATGCTCCTCCAAGAGCTCCGTCACCTCAATGAATCATATTACAGTGCATTTCAGTGATGCCAAAGTCACATGGGAAAAGGGGGCTTCCCTTTTCTGTTTCGCACAACATCAGTGCAAATGAGAGGGCGAGGCTGTCAGTCTGTGGATCTGCCCACACTAAGAGACTGTGCCTGATTGGCTACTAATCCGGAATCGGCAGATCATTGGTTTCTATGTGCTCCTAACAGTCGACCGCATCTCTGTTTAAACGGCCGTGAAATGTTTGCCTCTGCGACACCCAGCAACACATCTATTGTAAAACTCAGAGAAACACAGCAGTAGCATGCGGATGCGCAGCTGTAATGCAGACAGCAGGTGCTTTCACCTGTGCAGTCACGCGTCACTAATACCGAGGCGGCACTGTATCAGGCAGCAGACACTGCTGTAACCCAAGGATGAAACTGCAAACTGCTCCAGCACTGCAATCACACACACACACAGACACACAGTGCTGCAGCTTTGCTCTGGAAAACAGCAGCGATACTGTACATCACTGCAACCCTCACAACACTGCAGCTCCACTCACACATGTTGCCATGTAAAGTCACACAGGCGCAGTACTACTGACACAGGCCAATACTACTATAAGATATTAGCAGAATATAACTTCTGCTAGATATAACGCATTAATACCCAATACCAAAGTAATATATGAATATACCAATGGGCTTGTTATGCATTGTGCCGATATGATACATTGTCCGGGCTTGACAAATTTACTTAATTTGAAAATACTGTCAAAATATCGTATATCATGGTGTAATGTCTGGACGGTATGAAAAATCGCCCCTGCATATACATCAGCTCCCAAAACCTTTCAGGACATACAGTACAGTTAAACGGATCGTTAGTCAAACTCAAATTCCCACAAAGTTCTTCAGCAGATTAAGGGGTGAACATCAGTTTTAGTTACATGCATTCTATATATCATCTTAGATCAGGTAATGCATTTGTCCATTTATGGCTGGGCTGCTTCATGAACTGCACATTGACACAGCAAACCAAATATTTTCAGACACTGGTGCTTCTCTGCTCCTGTCGTCTTTATAAATGTTCTACTCGTCAAGTTTGTTTAAACGTCACTCACGTAACCCTGCCGCATTTTTCACCGCCTTATTCCTGTCTTTCAGTGAACATTTGCTTACAATTATTTCCCTTGCCCGAAGCCAAACCGAGCCGAATATGTCCGATCTTGCCTTTGTTCAGGAGCCCTGCAGAGTAAAACTTGTCATTTAAATACAATAAAACCTGTCTGTGAGATCTGTCTACTCCGCAAGACCCTGACTTACCACCCACAAACATACACTGCTTATGTCTCCCCACATTCCCTTTGCACTTACAGAAAGCACATATAACACATACTGTAGTAACATCGCAGTAAGACCCAAAAGTACTACCAACAGCACAAGTATAAATTTAACCAAAGAATTCCAGTCCCCAGTTTCAGTTTTCCAAGCATTTTTACCTACTGGGAATATTTTCTTCATACGCAATGCATAAGATGCAGTAAACAGCAGATAATCTCTAAAAAGCAGGGGTAGAGCCGTGATGTGGGACTGAGATCACAGATGAGATCGGCTCCCCTACAGCTCGCCACTGAGTGCCTTTGGCCCGCGAGCGGGAGCCGGGGAAACCCTTCACACACGCTCACGTGGACGACACCCGTGCTGACTCACTGGATGGCAAACTGTGTTGGAAAACACAAAGGAAATTAACATTCCTTCCCGGTGAGCCACTCCGCTCTCCCAGGAAGGACGACGCTAATTCAGGTCTGCTGGAGAAGTTTCTGGCTTGGATTTCAAACAAAGCCCTCATTCAGGTTGATTATTTTTACGGGCTGACGCGGGTTAGTGGCTCTTTTAGGTGCTCAGTGATTTAGTGAGTTTTCCTAGACCTGCATGTTCACAGTAGGACCAGGGAGGTCTACCTCTACAATACACAGAAAAGAAAATGGATTTCATTCCTGCACGTGAAATTCCCAGGAAAAACGTTAAGACTTACTGCTTTGGACATTGACGGTGCTCGTCGTGTTCTCCTTTCCCAACATGTTCTCCGCCACACACATGTAATTCCCAGAATCCTGTAGCTTTGCTTTATTGATCTGAATCCTGGAGTTCTTCCTGCCAAGAGACAAGGTCATAATTTCAGCCTGGAACAGAGTAATAACTATGTAATGTAGTCATTTGGTTGGTCCTGACACTGGCTTTATCTCAAACTTTGTTTAGTCAGCATGTCAAACACCCTTTAATCTATCTTCTATTATGAGCTTTTAAATTAACTTTGCAGTATTTGCGTGGCTTTAATGTTATAAATCAGTTTAAACGTCAGGATAACACTGGTACTGTATTGATCTCATATGATTTGACAATATGATAGTTCTAGCAGAGAAAGAGGAATGAAACTGAAAGTCGAGCCATAAAATGGCTTCACGGTGAAACTGGCAGAGCCTGTTGATTAAATCTGGGATGAACAGGAGTTTACTGCTGCTGTTTTCTGCAGTCTGTTTGACACGGTGTTACGGCTCAGGCGTGCAAACTGACAAAGTGTCTGTCATCTGTCAGCAAGCAATTATTTAATCTTCAGAAATTCGCGATTATCAGCCGCAAAGGTTGATTTCTGTGTGAGTAACCTAGAGTGTCAACAACTGATCTGTTCTCCCCACATGCTGAACCACGCCTGCTTCTGTTATATACAGGCTGATGAAGTGCAAAAACCAATTTCACTGCAGCATTGTTTTCAATACACAGCTACCTAATGGGAGCCAACTAATGGCGAAAAAATGCAATCAAATTGGGACACACTTCCCTGGTTCCAACAATCATGTGTTTAGAGCTTTAAATGGCAAGTTTGGCATGAGAATCAAGGAATTTTCTGTCAGCTCATAACACTCACAAAGTGCCAGGATGTTTCAATAGGGTCTGCATTCTGTGGTCTGCATTCTGTTTTTCAGACAGACTTGCTACTTACTTGTTGGACTTTATTTTGATCTCCTTGCTCCTCTTGAGTTCCCTGCCGTCTTTGTACCACTTGTAGGAGGGGGCTGGGTTCCCAGTGGCCTCGCATTTAAGTGAGAGCTTCCCCCCCTCTGACACGGCCTGGTTCTTCAGCTGTTTTAACTTTGGGGCTGCGGCTGCAGGAGAGGCACGGGAAGATGCAGGAGAAAGGGGAGAAGAAGCGAGATCATACATCCTGCAGGTGACGAGGAGCAGACGGGGCGCAGACCACAAGGTGAAGGTCAAGGTAAAGAGTGGTCTGCCTCTGCCTGCGCAGGAGCTCCGCCTGCATACACGGTGCCCTGCCAGACGCACGGCATCCTATCAGAAAGCCGGTCAGCGCTGGAGAAGATCTGTGTCCTGGCGTCCACACCGGGGGTAGGGGGTGGGGTCTGAAGTGTCGGACAAATCAGATGTTTCGAATTCGCTCCAGCACACATGTTCGTGTCTCCCTGCTTCTGTGTCTGATTTGCTAGCGTAGCGCCCTCGTTTCCACGCTCCTCACGGTGAGGAAATCTCCCCGGTGGACGGGGCAGGTGATCCAGAGCCGCACTCCGCATTCCAGCCCGCCTCCCCCCCCCCCCCCCAACTACGTCTATCACACATTTCATCACGGAGAGCTCTGGGGTCAGGAGGAGTGTGTAAGACGGCACCCCAGGTGCACCTCTGTTGTACTCTGTAAAAACGTGTCAAAACTGCATTTCAAACTTCCATGTACTCAGGCTGAATTCATTGTGAAAAGTCCTGTCTGGATGTTAGAAATTTCCATTCCATTTCAACTCAGATAAGCAATAAGTTGAGTAATAAGCGGTAGTCTACACGCTCACAGCAAGCCCATGGCTCGATCTGCATGACTGAGGGTCACATGCAGGGCTTATCAGTTACCTGTAAGCACAGGACCTTTGGGTGGCACTTCATAATGTTCTCACCCGCAGCAGGTGGCAGAGCGGTGCCAGTTATGTGCCACTGTTATGAGTGTAATGTGACTCAGACCCTAGGACTCTCTCTGACTGAGCCTTTCTGCAGCTCTTTATTGACTAAACAGCAGTTATATAACGGAATCTGGAACTCGATCTGGAAAACCGAATCCTTTAAGAGGACGAGCGTGGTGCTGTCTGGCGGCTGACACACGCGGGGTTAACGCGGCTAGCCGCTCATCGCAGGTTTCCCTGGAAACGGGACAGCGGCCATGTTGGTACACATAAGGTGATACAAGATGTGAATGTGGTATATGATCTGCAGCGGTTACCTACATGCATGGGCCCGACGCCAAAGCAGACAGCTCCGTCTGCGATGCATGTTCACCGGGGGTGCGGGGTGTGGGGGGGCTACCAAGCCTTTCTGTCTGAATAGTTGGCACGTCCCCCTCTGTGGGTGTCAGAGGAACGACAGGCCTCACTTCTCTTTAGTGCGCAGGAACGGCATACGAGCGGGAATGCGAAACACGCGAGGCGAGGATCGGCTTTCATCATCGGAGGGACAGTCTCGACTTCGCCTTCCGCTCCACGTCTTCCTTGAGACGCTCCCTTACATCAGTTCAGTTGTCACGAATTATCTACGAGTGGCTGCATGCGTGCATGTTCACACGCACGCATGCACGCACGCACGCCCCCGGCCTTCACACGTGCTGCTCGCACTGTCACGCACACCGTTGCCATGTGCTTCTGCATGCGCACACACAGCCAGACAGGCACACCCCCGTTTCTCACACAACTTCCCTCACTTATTTATAGGGGGGCGGTTATCCATGCTGATAGAAAACAATGGAGATGGTGGTAAACAGACACCACAATGCATAATAGTCAAGCCTGCAAGAAATGCAGATTTCGCAGCTACATTTATCGTGTGGGAACTTTAAAAAGACCCCACCCCCCAACTTTTTAAATGGCTCACTATTTTAAAATTCACTAATCACAATTTTTCTTCTCACTGCTTGCACCGCAGCTAGGTTAATACACATGCCAATGCATACTAATGGAACGAAAATGCAGAGCGAAAAGCCATCTGTGGATAATGACTCCAATTAAAACCCTCATTGTAATGACACCCTGTTTCGGATGGGAATGACCCATTTTGTTGCCCCGGTGAAGCCTGTTCCTGCGAGGCACGGAGCCCCCTTCCTTGCCATCGCGGGCAGCTTCTGCAGGCGCCTGATCACCATGCCATCTGCTGACGTTTGTTACGCCATTCGTATGATTACACTGCATTCTACTCACCCTGAGGAAGCTATGAAACATTCCCAGAGGAAAGCGAGGACAGATATGGCAGATAGCGACAGTGGACGGATCCAACCCGGAGAACATGAGCAGTTTTTCCAGTCTCACGATGCGATATGGAAGCGGCGTGAGGTCACTTCTAATGTTTTGTACACAGTGAGCATGACTGTGGATGAGCCCATGATTCAGGTAGACTGCTCACTGACCTGGGTTCACCAAGGGCCCGTGCTACACCAGTCACAGCCCAGTAAGCGCTACTCTGTAGCACAGCTCGTCGTCTCTAGCGGGTTCCGGGTCGATATCGAGAAAATTCCACTGGATTGTGAAGTGCAGCTGCATGCACCTCAGGGAGCGGAGCATGCTGAACACATGGCACTGAGCACGGTGCGTCACTGCACGCACGCACGTGCAGTCGCTTTGCGGCCACTGAGGGCGCTTGGCCTCTGCGACCCCTGACCTGGATGCAGACGGTGGCTGACAGTTCTGAGGCTCACGCTGGCTCTGTCCCATGTGACCCCAAGGTCACGTGACCATGAGACTGTGTCCAATACTCTGGCTTATAAAGTCAGTTACACGTAGCTGGGGAGTAGGGCTTACATCTCACTGCCCTGTAAACCTCCACGGGTATGATCAATATCACAGCAGAAGTAGATTTTAATATGAGTACAGAAACCTCGTTTAGGACATGCTGAACATTGGCCAGAGTATGAGTTAACTGTATAAAAAGTCCATAAACATTACATAAAATATTGTGGAACTGATCATCCATTCATTCATCTTCCAGACCATTATCCTGTTGAAGGCTGCAGGGGAATTTTATAATCATTTAATGTAAATAGCATGTCTTTATGAAATATATATATATTTATAAAAAATACAAATACAAATATATTTATATTTGATAAATGGATCAAACATAACTATAAATGTAATCTAGATTCTCTTGGAGTCATGCTTTGCTAATACACACTTAATTTCCACACATCGAATTCTTCACTGGCAATGCATTTCAGGAAAAATTAATTATCTTTCCATAAACCAACAAATATCCTCACTGAAAGAAAGCTTCAACGCGTCCTCGGGAGCTGTACTTATGAAAATAAGTCCATGGCAGATCGAGACACATAGCTGTAGCAGGACCGCGAATCGGCGGGAAATATTACACTAGTCGACTCTTTTCTGTTTTTCGGTAATCTTGACTGGTGCATCTCATGTTACCGCTTTTAACTTTAACTCAGAAGTCCTGAAACATAACTCTTGCAAAGATAGCAGAACATACCATAAAACATGCGGTGAAATACACATGAAATAGTCTACATCTCCATCCTGTCCTCACTTACAAGCCCTTATTAAACACACTTACTGATTCAGACCCTAAAAATGTACTTGCTGAGTCATCTTAAGAATATCTCCCTCAGGTCATTAAACCCACACAATACTAGTCAAAATACATGATATCCCTGTATTATGTTCTATCGTATAAAATGCCAAAATAAGTTTTACTACAAGCAAATAAGCCTCTCGGGAACTTTCCATCCTAAGGTGCTATGGGCTGCAACCAAAACAAAGGAGTGTCCTTTCAGATAAAACATGTGTTTGTTTTGTCATTCCTCTTACCTAGAAATATTCAGTAATTTGTATTCGTGAGGAGTAAATGTGAAATCATTATCGTCCTCTAATTTCACTTACCTGGCACGCGTAAAGAAAAAACATGTTCGTTCAGTCGAATATATTTTTAAAAGAAGGGAGGTTAAGTATCTGCTCGAGGGTGGTATGGTTTGTATCCTTCAGGAAATCAGCAACCAGCAAATTCACGAGGTTGTGTTACTAACCACTCTGCTGCCTTACTGCTGTCACTATCACCATGAGTGCCAAACCTTAAATTGAGGCCATAATTAAGCAAATGTAAGAACTACAGTTGAAAAAGGAGGTTTACATGCTTGTAGACCCATACAACCTCACATTCAAAACTTCTATTAAAAGTTGTGATTTGTTGATTATTCCTCAAATTAAGTAAAAAATATTATTTTTTTTTAAATAAATACAGTTTAGAACTTAGTTCATTTTTCTATTACTGAGAATACAGACCTTATAAGAGGAAAATTTATATTCCCTCATGAACCAAGGAGACATGTGTTATTTTAGAAAATATTACATTCTACTACAACATCCGCACGTGCCGTGAGCAATCGAGCATTGCCAATTCACCTAGCCACATGTTTTTGGACTGTGAGAGGAAATTGGAGCATCCAGAGGGAACCAGCACAATCGGAGAATATGCTAACCACCTCCCCGACACACAAACACACACATGCAGGCACGCACACGTACATATCCACACACACAGACACACCCATACACACTCACACACGCACGCACACACACACAAACCTGCCCGCACACACACACGCACATGTAGGGTAAACATATCCTTATGGGGACCGCTCATTCATTTCAATGGGAAAAATGCTAACGCTAACTATGACAACCTTAACCCCTACCCTGCCCTAACCTTAACCATAAGTGACCTAACAAAAAACAAGACTTTTGGCTTTTTTCATTTTTTGATTGCATTCACAGAACTTTGTAGGGACCTGAAAAATGGTCCCCACAATGTCAAAATAACAGGTTTTTACATACATAGTGGCTGATCCTTATGAAAGGATCATATTCATAAGCTCGCTGTTCAAATTCAGCGTGTCACCTCACCTCCCCATCACAGTATGAATACAAGGACAGCCGACGCCTTTGTCAGTCCAAGGTCATTTAATATGGATCCAACAGGAGCTTGAATAAATAGCATCTCAAAAACACTGGAAATATTTATATGCATTTGCAAAGGACTGCATGTGAGTGCAGAAAACTCCCAGTAATTTAAAATCCCCACGAGTTCCCTTCCCTAAAGTTGGGCCAACAAGAGG